AAAAAATATATATATATATATATATATATATATATATATATATATATATATATATACTAGTGCTCGCGTACGTAGAAGTATGGATCGAGCAGAGGTATTATCTTTTTTTACATTAAATTTAGATGAAATTTCCGCCGAGGGGGATCGTCCAGGGTATTTGGATTAAAACATTACTACGTTCGAAAGTAAGCTCGAGGTGGAGAGCTTACGCGCTTTCCCGTCCCGAAGCAAGTTTTCCGTCGCTTGTATATGATTAGCCACGATTAGCCGATAATTTACTCACCTAACGATCCTTTTCGTTCGTCTAATGTTAATTTTTAGTAAGAAGTACTGTAGGAAATTTATTAGTAATTTGGACATTTGAAAATTCTATGCGTTAACCGTAATAAATTTTACAATCCAACATTTCCTGACGCTAATTTTAACGTCTACCGACAAATTGAAATTCCATGATTCCCCACTTCAGCAACGGCGCCCGACGATTTACATCGGCAAACCCTGGAATTCTTACAAATATCTCTCCACTCCTATCCTCCCTATCCTATCGTCCCTCCTCCCTCCCTCATCACCCATCCCACTAATAAGCGATGCGATAAGCTGGGCTATTAATGAAAAAATTCGCGTGCCGGTTGCCACTTCACCGCGGATAAAGCTAGTGCTCGTCAATAAACGTCAGACAGCCGTTCGGTTTAATGTAAGACGGGGCGAATTTTCAGCGTCGAGAGCAAACGAGCTTATGCTGAATCTCGCATGCGATACTTCCTTCGTGGTAGGCACTACTGCTATTATTATGCAGCTCCCGTCGCTTTTGGAGTTTCCGTCGGCGCCACCACTTGGTGTGCCGGGATGTTATCGTTCGCCTCCTTCAACGCAACGATCTATCGATGCTTGTAATATTGAAGTCACAGCTTTTTCCATTGCCCCAACAGCTGCTCCATCGATCGCATAAGGCTTCTTTAAGTGCCTTAAATCTACATGGCATTCGAATATTTTTAAATCTACTGCTTTTAAACTGCATCGATAACGGGACTCTTGCTTTACAAAACATTTACAAACAACTTACCGTAATAATTAATTACACTTTTTAGCCATTGAAATTATCTAACGTGAGATTCGCTTGTTAATTGCCAATGTAATTGATCGGAGAATGATAATTGATGACCGTTTAGTTAGCTATTCTAGTAACTAGTGCTTTCCGAATGCTGTAACTTGGATATTTTTAAAGTTAATTAATGGACACTAATATTGTCGATGCTGTCATTGGGATGTAACATAGACGTAAGAGCCAGAATGTGACAATAAATTATTTATGAATTCGTTGCTACAATTTTGCTGTTCCGTGATAAATTTTGGTCGTTAACTCCTTCCTGTAATCCAATATCACTTTAAAAAGATCGATATGCAGGTAGTATTATTTATAATTTACAGCCGTTTTACGCCGTCATTGTGCGCTGCTATAAAATAATATTTATTATGAATTATTGTAAATAGCGTATTATAAATATCACTCAATTTGTAACTGAGGTTCACTCGCTCTGTGTATAGTTACTGCAACTATTAAGAGATACGAAGTGTTTTATGACTCAACACAAGTTCAACCGAACTTGAACTAATAATTGAAATCGAACGAATGACGCAAATAATATTCGTTCGCGTGTCAAAGCAATATTATATCGTCTGATTGATTGCCATTTTTTTCACTAATAATTAGTCGATTTAACAATAACATCTAAAGAATATGAATTTAAAATGGTAAATAGGTGACGATTCGTCATTAGCAATTAACATATCAAATTGGTACTAAAGATGTGGTATTTGAGACCAAATGTATTAGCTCGTTTATGCCATGAGATCCTCATTGAGCTTGAGATTGCTCGTCGATAAAATAATAAAAAATAATATCACTTTTGCAATATTTCAGTGCCACCTTGCTTTTAACAGCATTTACGACTGGTTATTGTAGTTGAAAAAATAATAATAATAATAATAATAATAATAATAATAATAATAATAATGATAATGATAATGATAATAATAATGATAATAATGACGTATTACGTCAATACTATTGGATTAACATTGTTCTTCGTACGTTTAAAATTCCACGTACGTTTCAAGGTATCGAGTACGTGTATTCATATTCAACAAAATCAATAATTCTAAGGCAAAGCCTATTCCCATATTAGGAAATACAAATGTATCTTATGATTTGCAAATTTATCGTAAAGTCATGGATAATTATTGGTATTCTTCGGCAATCTCAGTCTATGATGAATATAAATTAAAATTATTCCCAACGTAGCTGTAATATCCAATGTAGTAAATAAATACAATAATTCTTTCCGATTACGACATACTTATTATTTTCAAAAATTCCACACATAAGCAGGGCCTTTTCATTTTTT